AGTACATGTGGATGACATATTTTCGATTGGAGAGGAGGAGAGGTGTGACCAATTTGGTAGGGACCTCAACACCATGGTACCGGTGAAAAATCTTGGTGACTTGAGGTGGTACTCTGGATGGTTTTATGAGAGGGATTGGGATGCAGGGACTTTGAAGATCTCGCAGCAGACGTACGCTGAAGAGTTGGGGGTGGAGTTTGGGGTAGAGCACGGGTAGGAAATTCCTCTTCCTGTGGGGTTGAAGCTTTCAGAGTTTGACCAGGATGAGGAAGTGGTATCATGGCCTTCTCGCGAACTGATAGGATCACTGATGTGGCTGGCAACGCAAACGAGGCCAGATATCGCGAATGCAGTAAGAGCGGTAGCACGGTACTGTGCTTCTCCTAAAAAAATTCATTGGAGAGCAGGTCGTGGTATTTTGGGGTATGTGGTAAGGACTAGTGACCTGGAAATTACATTCAGGAGGGGTAGTGTAGCAGGGTTGAGCGTGGAGGTATTCGCAGACGCAGACTATGCAAGCAAGGCTACCGATAGGAGGTCTGTGTCAAGAGGCTTGGTGATGTGTGTGGGGGGATGTATTTCTTGGTTTTCAAGGACGCAGAAGTGCGTTACGTTGAGCACGACAGAGGCGGAGTATGTCTCTCTTGCGGATGTGATGAAGGAAGTGTTGTTTCTGAGGAAGGTATGGCGTTTCATGTTGCCAAAAGCAGGAATGCTGTGTATTCCGGTGTTTGAGGATAACCAGGGGGCTATTCAGTTGGCGCAGAACCCGATTAGCAACAGCAAGTCGAAGCACATCGACGTAAGGCACCACTTTATCAGGGAACCGGTAGGTGTTGGGCGTACTAGCGGGACCTCACCGCTGTTGTACATTGTGGTTGGCGAATGTGACGCAAGAGGCTCGGGTAGAGAAACACAGAGTGATAATTATATCACACATCGGCGTCCAAGCTGTCTTCACCTGACGGTTACAGACTTGGATACACGCCTTCACCATACTGCACCAACCCATGCAGTAGAATAGAGTCAGTTCTTGCACACAATTCTCCCAACATGTCCTCTCAAGAACTACGTCATTCCAGCTCTGATACATGAGACACGAAATTCTCTCAATCTCAATGTCCTCTCGAAACAATACCAGTGTCCTCTCGACAAATGTGCTATCGACGTGAGTGCATGCTCTCGAACCAACTCCTAAATATGTACTCATTGATTGCATCGAAATGTTCTTCTACTTTCCAACGTTTGTTATTCTACAATAATATTCCATGCACCATCCAACCCTTGAGACATAATGTCTGATTTCGGTAATGGGGAGGTGTTTACACTCCAAGCAAGAGAAGGCGGTTCTGGAGGAACTTCACAGCTCCCTGGCTTTTAGTCAGGATGTCAGCCTTCTGCAAGTCAGTCTCGATGAACTTGACGTCGACGAATTTCTTCTTCTCTAAGTACCGAACGTGGTGATACTTGACGTCGATATGTTTAGTCTAGTACGGGGCGTGAGTTTGGCGCCCTTAGCAAACGCTATAGCGCCTGTGTTGTCCTCAAACACTACCGTGGGCTTCTCCTTCTTCATGTTCAGCGACTCCAGCAAATTACGAAAGTGGATTACAATAGTGCACGCCTTGGACAGGGCAACAGCTTCAGTCTCGAACGTTGAGATGGCCAGCACCGTTTGCTTCTTGGATATCCAGTCCACTGGGGCACCTGCGAGATAGAGAACGGCACCGGTTGTGGAGTAGCCTTTGTCTTGGTCACCTGCAAAATCAGAGTCCACGTACGCCGTGAGTTTATCTCCGCCGTCGGCGTCTTCGGTGTATGTGATTCCGATGGAGGTCGTTCCTTTTAGATACCGGAGTACTCGCTTCAGCTTTGTCATCGCTCTGGGACCTGGCTTCGCCATGCTCTTCGCGAGCACCATCACCGAGTGTGTTATGTCCGGTCTTGAGCCCCTGTTGAGATACAGAAGGCTACCCGTGGCGGACCGGTAGTATTTGGTGTCCTCTGGAGATAAAACCTTCTCCTCCTCGATGCTGATAGGTCCAGGTTCCGCCGGTGTCTTCACCGGGCGCGATTCGGCCATTCCGAACTGGTCGAGCACGGTCTTTGCGTACGTCTCTTGAGAAGGGAATATGATACCGGCGTCGACGTTCCTCTCAAGCTTCATACCAAGCAGGTGCTGAGCATCCCCCAAGAGCACCGTGTTGAACAATTCCTTGAGCAGATCAACGACCATCATGACCTTCTCCTCGTCCTTCCCCGACAGCAGGATGTCGTCAACGTACACGAGAAGGATAACTCCTTCCGCTTCGAGAATGTAGAGACAGGGGTCTGCTTTTCTCTGTACGAACCCTTTCTCAATCAGGAAGTCGTGGAAGGTGCTGCACCAGCCTTTCGGGGAGAGACGCAATCCGTAGAGCCATGCCTTTAGCCGCCACACCTGCCGTGCTTGTTCTGGAGAGCATTCGAAACCTTTCGGAGGACAAACATAAATCGGGTCTGCGTTAGCGGGGATCCTGGCATGTAGAAACGCTGTCTTGATGTCAGCCTGTTTTAGAACAAAGCCATTCTGAGCAGCGACGGCGACTACTAGATGTACCGCCTCCAATGTCGCCACTGATGATGCCTTGTCTTCCCCCGTGTCTTCTTGATGGAAGCCTTGGACCACGATACGAATCTTCAGTCGAGCTAGTTCTCCGTCTGCTGCGTACTTCCGTTTGTAAGGTATCTTGACCGAAGTATATCTCCGTCCGCCGGCCGTTTCACCCAATCGTATTCGTCGAGTTCCGTGAGCGAACAATTTTCTTCGCGCATACTCTCCCTCCGGTGGTCAGCATCTGGTCCACGTGTTGCGTCGTCGTACTTGGTCGGGTCGGGAGGCCTGTAACCTATTTCTCCAGGGTTGCCCGTCCCGACGTTTCCGAGTACACCCCCTGTCAGAAGAGCTTGTTCCACCTGCTGATAAGCATCCTCCTCCGAGGTCACCGTAAATAGATTCAACCTTTGCGGCGGTGCAGATGCCCTGGCGCTACGTCGTGGTTCTGGAACAGATGGTGTCGACTCTGCAGTACTTTGGTCTTCTTCTTCATCGCTATCGTCGTGAGTTTCTTCTTCGTTAGATTCTGCAATACCAGGCTGGTAGATTGTCGTGTTTGACACAGGAAACGGATCGCGCCTTACTTTGGGTTTTACCACGTCGCGCATCACCTTTTCAAGGAAGGATACTTCGGCAGAGTTGGTGATTTTAGAAGGCTCCGCAGGATCCCACAGTCTGTACGACCTACCCTTGGTATAATAGTCTACCAGATACATCTTCTTGGCCCTGGCCGCAAGCTTGTTGGGACGGAAACGCGCTTCCTCGTGTTTGAAGGCCATCGAACCCCATTCGTGAACGTGCAGCAGAATACCTAGCGGCTTACCCTCCCATACCTCGAGTGGGGATTTGCCGCCCAGGACTTCAGTTGGTGTGCAATTCTTGAGATAGATGGCGGTCTGGAATGCTTCAGCCCACAGCTCGCTGGGAAGGTGCGGTGCGCCCAGCATTAGTTTGCGAGTAATTCCGATGATGGTGCCAAATCCACGTTCTGCGATGGAGTTCTGCTGTGGAGTGTATGGAGCGCTAGTTTTGACCGTAATTCCGAGGGACTTGCACAGCTCCAGGAATCTGCCCTGGAATTCTCCTGCACCATCGCAGTGCATCGTGCCAATGATTTGCCCGATCGGGTCGGCTACCTCCCGTACAAATTTGTGGAGAGACTCTGCCGTTTCGTCCCTTGTCGTGATTAGGAAGCCGAACCTCATGCGAGAAAACTCGTCAGTGAACATCACGGTACTCTGGCAGCCCCAAAACGACTTGATGGGGTGCTTCCCTCACACGTCGGCGCACATAATCTCTAGCCGGGTTTCAGAGTGGGGGTGATCAGATGGAGGGTGACTGCCCTTCTNACTCTGGCAGCCCCCAAACGACTTGATGGGGTGCTTCCCCCACACGTCGGCGCACATAATCTCTAGCCGGGTTTCAGAGTGGGGGTGATCAGATGGAGGGTGACTGCCCTTCTTGCTATCCCCGACCGCGCATATGCTGCAGTCACCTGACTCGATGTTGTGATGAAACTTTACTCCAGTGGTATCCATTTCCGCCAGCTGCTGCAGTGCACGCGGATTGCAGTGGCCCATCCTCCGGTGCCACANTATCCCCGACCGCGCATACGCTGCAGTCACCTGACTCGATGTTGTGATGGAACTTTACTCCAGTGGTATCCATTTCCGCCAGCTGCTACAGTGCACGCGGATTGCAGTGGCCCATCCTCCGGTGCCACAGGTGAGCGTCGACCTTGGTGCGATACACTTCTACATTGTCCATGTTGAGATCGTCAATGATGACGTTTATCACGTACATGAGAGGCACAGCGATTGACATCGGAAAGGCCTGGTCGCCGCGTCGGAGCGCCTGAGGGATAGACATTAAATCGCACTTAACCCCCTTTTCGGCCAACGCTCCAACCGACCGAATATTCGCTCCTAAATTACGAACCGCCACCATCACAATCTTGCCTTGGTCACTACGAATTCCAAACTTCAGGGTGTCTTTCTTGGTAGCGCTAGATGTTCTGCACGACCCGATGATACGCACGGCGCAGTCCACTGGGTCGAACACACGCTTGGACGTGCGGGACGATAGATATACTTGCAGCAATGCCAAGTGGTTCTAGGATTGTGTGGTACGTGGAATGTATTTCCAGGGTGTGCAAGGTACCCCTGTTGTATACTGCGTCGCCCCCTCATGGTGGTGCGTGCACGCTTGCGTTCAGTTCGTGTGAGTTCGTGTAAGTTCGTGTGAGTTCGTGTAAGTTCGTGTGAGTTCATGTGAGTTCATGTGAAGGAGAAGTTTATGCAACAAACCCCACACGTCTTTCCTCCTTGGCGCGAGTTCGCCGAGTTGCCGACACCCTATTCAACACACGTTTTGCGACAAGCTACCCCCAGTTCGGATCATCCTAAAACGCTAGCGTGCTGATATCAGACGGGATCCCGAGGTGAGGTTAGCTACAAAAGGGTTCGGCTAGAGAAGTGGACTATGGAGGAAGCCCTCGACCTCAGCAGCTATACTGAGGAGGATCGCCAAGCATTAGCGGCGCACATCAAAGAGGAGGTGGAGAAGAAAGTACAACAGAAGATGAAAGAACAAGAAGAAAAGCGTCCCGCTTCAGAGAGCGTGGACATGCCCCCCGATGGAGGCGATCCCCGGCATGCTCGGCCGGCTGGAACAGCGTTGAACCCGCAACCTGAAGACCAGCCACGATCGTTGGAGGACCGTCTCGTTGATTCGTTCGCACGGGCAATGCGAAGGACCAACACCCCGGGGGAGGAAACCAGGGAAGTCGTAACCCCTAAGGACACCATCCGTGTCAGCCCTGTAATACATGTAGCCCCATTTACGGGTGTGTTAGATTCCAGCGGCGATGTTCAAGTTAGAGTACAGGTGTTTGAGAGCCAATTTCGAACGCTGTTGCATTAAGAAGATTGCCTTAGTGCATTAGTATCAGAAGAGACAATCAGGGTGGGGAAGTCGGATGCAGACATTCCCAAACTGAAGGAGGAGTATGGTAGGAAGGCCGTAGAGAAGGCCATGAAGGCCTGGCAGTTAATACTGGCAAAGATTCAAGTTGCATCGATCGTACCAGCAATCATCTCTAGTGGTTGCCCAACGGAGTCATGGCGAATATTTCGAAATCATTTTCAAGTGCATGCCCACACAGAAAAGACGAGCCTCCAGCTAGAGTGGCAGGAGTTGACGCAAGGGGTTCAACAACACCCGAAAGAGTACCTATCGAGAGGGTGGGTGCTGAGGCAAAGGCTATCATCTTGCGGAGTGACAATTACAGAGGATGATGCTAACAGACATCTTGTGCGCAACCTCCTCCCCGAATATGATGTCTACACAGGTTTTCTGATGTCCGAGAGCGGTCTAGAGAAGGAGAGAGTAGAACGGATTATAGTGAATGCTTGGGCGGAGATGGAGGCGCGAAGGAAGAAGAAGCAGGAGAGCGTGGGGGCTTATGCCCTCGTCACTGGCGGTGAGAACCGTAGTGGCGGGGGAGGGAACACGGGGGGACCGGGGAAGACGAGAGGACAACGGAGGATGGCAGCGCGGCAACAAAAGCAACAACCGCAGCAGCCACAGCAGCAGCATCAGCCGTGCTTCAACCAGCAGCAACAGGTATACCTGCCGTCGTACCCGCCTGAAATAAAATATTGCGACCTCCACAACTCCCCGTCCCACAGCAACGAGGAATGTCGCTTGCAGCGGGGTTGGGGAGGTCCCTCGGGCGGCCAAGGTGCTATCTACGGCGGAAGGCACGGGCCCCAGCATGGGGGCCGGGGCTTTTCTGGAGGAGGACGTCATCAGCAGCAGCCGGCAGGAGGAAGATTCGGGGGACGTGGCGCCGCTTCCGGTGGGAGGGGCAGGGGCCCTTTTCACCAGGGATCGCCCGGCAGCAACCTCCCCGCCTACCCTGTACCTCAGCAAGGCTACGACTACAGCACCTACCCCCCCAACATGTACCGCCCACAGGGAAATGAACCTCCCATCCACCCGAATGACCCTCGCAAGCGGTGTGAGAACTGCGGTGAACTCGGCCACAACCACCTGTTCTGCCCTTCGCGTGTTGATGTCGGGAGGCCAGCTGGCATGCCGGCAGGCAACGCGCCGCCCAGGCAACCGCCGCCCCGGCCGCCGGCCGGTGATTACAGACAGCGGCCGCCTTGGGGACACTCGTATGGGCAGACAAATACGGCGCAGCAATACGGCCGAGATGGTTACCCGGGGGTAGTGCCAGGAGCAGCAGGAGCGACGGCGGTGGCGACGACAGCTCCACCAACAGGGGGGCATGCGGTGACGCACGTGAGCGGCGTTTACCATTACTCGCCCCAACAGCAGCAGCCGGAATACCTTTCCCCCCCCGTGCAACAGCAGCAGCCCATCCCCAACCCGTACGCTCCTCCATGCCGTGGCCACACATCACTGGCTCTAAAAACAAGGGTTAATCGTAGTTGGTCGCTGCTTTTGGTTTTTTGTGAAAGTCGTTCGTGCACGCTCCATCTTCTTTCCAGCCATGCTTCCGAAATCTGGGAAGAAAAACGTGCCAAGCTTGACAATGTCGTCGATCATGTACGGCTGGTCCATCAACTCTTCCATTATTGGGGGTTGCATCCTCACTACATCGTTGCATCTAACAGGTGGGTCAGTTTCTGTTGTACACCCGTGAGATCCTGCTCGTTTCTGGGTGTGGTTCCAGTGTTGATGGCATCACGGATAAAATGCCAAAGCCATCTTCTTCTTTTCGAGTCTGCAATGCCATTATCTCTAACGATATCCAGGATGTCGCGAACTACATTCAGGTAGAGATTGTTGGTTTCCAGCTCGCAGCAGTACGAGTGGTTTGATCGTTGCGTGCCCAATATGCACCCCTTCTCGCCATCTCTGGCGAAGCACTTCCTACCGGGTGCGCGCGTAGATGCACAGCTTAAAATATCACGCGTGGTTTGGTCGATGTTGGTGAACCTTTCATTATCACGATCGGAACCAGAGAAAGCGGCTATGTTGCGCATCACTCCCTCGTTTCCGTCTGCGCGCGGAAGGTGGCGGGTCTGGTCGGTCTGCTTCTTCCTTTTTCTTGCAAACATGACCGGGTACCTACTACCCATTACACAAACACCACAGAAAGCTCACTGCTTTTCAGATAAAGTGGTAATTTTCAAGGACCCGATTTTGGTTGTCCCTCCATAACTTTTGACTGAGATCGAATTAAAAAAAAAAAAGACAGCTTCAGAACGCCCGTAGCATGGCGCAAAAGAGTAGCGAGTCGCCAGAGAAAAGACAAAAAAATAAATAAAAAAGTGCTCGCGGCGGGTCTCGAACCCCCGACCTTGGCCCGAGAGAAACTTTTCACCCATATATTTTCGTACTCCAGATTTTTGTTTTTCACGCCAACACACCTACAGGTGTACCGGGAGACCCTGAACCACTTCACAAATGCCTCTGCCGCGCCTATAGCGTACCTATATCACCCGCTAACGTACTTCCGTCGCAAAAATGTGCCAGCTTTCAACAAACACGTCGCTTTTGTACAACATTCCATCCAGAAGAACAGGGAAAAAAACTGAAAGAGTTCCGCTCAACGAACAAGAATGCGCCATCCATCTACTGTCTCCATTCCTTCGGGGTCGGGCGCCTGTGTGACTTGTACTTCTTGTACGTCTTCTTGCCTTCAGGCCCTTCCACACGCGTCTCGCGGTACATGAGGGCGTGTGTGTATGCCTTCTTGCAGTAGCCCTGGACCAATGAAACAGCCTGCCTATCCTTCTCTGATCTAAAACTCAGCGGCACGTTTTTGCGCA